GGCGTTGCTCTCTAATGAAGGTGAGGGAGTCCCTTTTATAAAATAAGGGCTCGCTCCTCAGTACAAAAATAATGGTTGCTGCTCTAATGAAAGTGAGGGAGTCCCTTTTATAGAATAAGGGCTCGCTCCTCAGTACATAAATAATGGGCTAAGTCCCCCAAGTATTTTTTATGAAGCCGAAGTTAAGGCCCAATATATGGTACATAATGTAGTCCCTCAAGTCTTCGGTCAATATAGTATGTTGACTGGAGACTTCAAATTGAATCCATGTATGGGCCGAAACGGCGGTTGTTTGGAGGCGGTATTTGTATACCCTGCACTGAAGCTTTGTAGGTAAAGCTTTGCAAGTGAAGCTTTGAAGCTGGAGCTCTGTAAATGAAGCTTTTGAAGCTAGAGCTCTGTAAATGAAGCTTTTTTTGAAGCTGATTGACATGAGTGATGCTCATGAATGTTTATGTTGATTGATATGAGTGATGCTCATGGATGTTGACATGAGTGATGCTCATGAATGTTTATGTATGACTGATATGAGTAATGCTCATGAATGTTTATGTATGACTGACATGAGTAATGCTCATGTATAATTTGAAGTACTGAGCGTACTTTTAATCACCTGGTTGGTGATAATAGCGGCAGGCTGCCGAATAATTTGGAGTACTGTGCGTACTTTTGATCACCTGGTTGGCAATAATAGCAGCGGGGTGCCGAATAATTTTTTGTAGTACTGGGCGTACTTTTGGTCACCTGGTTGGCGATAATAGCGGCGAGGTGCCGAATAATTTTTTGTAGTACTGGGCGTACTTTTGGTCACCTGGTTGCCATTAATAGCGGCGGGGTGCCGAATAATTTTTTGTAGTACTGGGCGTACTTTTGGTCATCTGGTTGGTGATAATAGCGGCAGGCTATCGACATAATTTTTGAAGTACTGAACGTACTTTTGATCATCTGGTTGGTGATAAGCAAGTGGGTGTCCGGTCAGACAAAAAATCACCATGAGCACGTGGCTTATCAGTCTATAAGTTGGTAGACTTCTTTAATCAGCAACAATGTTGATCAGTGGATCTAGTTGCTCAATAATTCCTGACAATAAATGAAAGTATAAGTACGACCTTATAATGAATGAATCAAATTGACAAAGTTTGTCAAGGTAAAATAATGTATTATGTGCCTTTTGTGAATAAATGATTTAATCTGTCGTGTGATAAATGACATGTTGCATAAATCAATAACGTGGTAGTAATCATGTGATATCAGAAATAATAATTATATTATTTAATCATAAGTCACCATGACATAAAAATAATAAAGTTATTATTTTATAATTAGTCATCATGACACAAAAAAAATAATAAGATATTATTTAAATAATACGTATCTTCGTATATCTTTGAATAATGAAACCATTCAAAATAACAAGGAGGATCTTGGATCCACTTGTCTAATTAATGATCACAATTAATAAACAAAAGAATGTGTTAAATTGTTAATCATGTGGTAGGTAGTTTTGCAAGCAACACCTTAGTCATGAAAGGCTGCTACTGGTAGGGGTCCCCTACTACAACTTGTGCAAGCCAACTATAAATCGAATCTTACTCTTTTCCTCTAATGATAGAAGAAAATGAAATGGGAAAGGTAACGTAGTTTACCCTTGATTGTTGATCAGTAATTAGTGGAAATGATGGTTGTATATGATGAAAGTTTGGCCATTGTGTAATCAAATGCTGAGAAAAAGTGGATTTCGAAAGATGTGTTGCTGAGTCACTACTAACTAATGCTTTTGGTGCCGTAATATATGGTTTGTTGCTTTCTTCAACATATAATGTAACGTTCCTTTTTTTTGTGTTAAAATAATAAAATATTCACTAGTACTAAATCATTATAACAAAAATAATTATTATTTTATAGTTAGTCATCATGATATAAATAAAATAATAATATATTAAATAAATGATATTGAAAAAACATAATGATAGGATATTAAAGGAGAGCATCTTATATTTTTCCATGTGGGTGGTCGACAGTTGCTCGTTGGTGCATAGCATATCCATCTCACATGATTGCACCAACAACAATCCCAGAGATCAAGAAAGTATGGTCAAAATGTTGTTGAGTATACTGAACTTATCACATGGTTGTTGGGTAAAGCTCCGGATGACAGCTCAAAGCATCAAAGCACTGAGCTCGTGGATTGATGCTTAACCCCTGATGTAGTCAAATGGATAATACTTGGGTTCACAAGAGAGTACCCAATTTACTGATCAAATGGGCCAATAAAATCAGCACAGTTGTCCCCTTAATTCTTTCTTCCTCCCATTACCCTTGCCATGGTGGATCTGGACAAGTCATATCCTCCTCCTTTTGTGTCGATTCCCACAAACGGCGCCAAATGTTGATTCACAAAACCGGAGGTCTTGAAACAACGTAAATCCGACCGTGAATCTGCAAAAAATGTAAATAACACAAGATGTATCGTGATTCATCCCAAGGTTTGGGCAACGTCCACACTGATATTGTATTTCTGAGGGAGAGAGGGAGCTTCTCTATGAGAGTGAGAGCTTTGAGAGGGTGAGGGTGTGGCCTCAGAAATGGCCTCTGAGGGTGAGAGTGAGGCCCTCCCTAATTGTGAGGGTGAGGGGTCATTTTATAAAATAAGCGCTCCTCACTTATTACATATTTGCCCATTCCTTTATTACATAATTACATTTGAGTCCCCCTGAGTATTTATATGAGATCTAAATACGGATGCCCTAAGTATGGTATAAACAAATTTAATGATCATTTTATTCAATACAACATAATTTTAGAACCAAACATGGTCTGAAAATGTTTAAAAGCAAGGTTTAAACACGGTCTGTTGGGGAAGAAAGTAGCCTACTTGTAGTTGACGGCTAATTCTCGAATCTTGATTTTTTCTTGCCGCATTGTGCTGGTTTAGAGAATAAAATTTTTACTATTATGTCCGAAAGTCAAGCCTTATGCATAGCTCCTAATCTATTATCATCCTTTCAAAAAAAGGGGAAGAAAGAGAACGTCACATATGCATGCGTTGATTGATATGGTGAGGGGACAAATTGCAACTTTGTATCTCAAAGAATTTTGTTATGGCTAAACTTTGTCCGACATTGAACGCATGCAACAGGAGCAATTGCTTGGGTAAACAGCATTTCCGCCCATGGATTACTATGGCTTAAACTTTAAATCCACTCCAAAATTCCCTTCACCTATCTCCTCCAAGCCATGGCTGGTAGAGCTTTGGCGCGATTTTGGCCCCAGGCCCAGGTTTACCATGTTACGTCAACCACAATTTTATTTATTTATTTATTCATTTTGTGTTTGGCGTGTGCGCTATATGCATCCAACAAAGAGGGTGGTGCGACAAGAAATTGCATGTGGGGTAGACCACAACAGTCGACTAGGCTCCCAACGGCTAGTTTAAAGACTTTATTACACGTGGCGCAATTGCATCGTCTAATTTAGATCTCAACTTTAATCCAACAATTTTTATATTTTCAACGATAATAAATAAAAAAATTGTAAAAAGATAGAAAGAAAATGGGAAAATGTTTAAAAAGGAGAAGAAAAAATAGAAAAATAAAAAATTCCAAAGACTCTTTCCAAATATTTTTTATAAATAGTAAATACCAATTCATATCTTTACTCACACATTTACTCTATGCACTATTCATATCCTTATTTTCTACATTCCTATTTTGTTTGTGCTTACAAAAATGGCATCAAAGGTGGAGTCAAAACCAGAATTGCATGGTCGACCGCTGAGATGCATTCTTGTTCTTTCAAATCTCAAATCTCAAATGTTGTGTGCAAGGTCATGTATAACAAATTGTCTCAGAAGAGAGCAGATTTATTTTTTCATTTTACTTAAAATAGATACATCACACACCCTTATCCATCTATGAGCATATGAACTGAGCACAGAAAATATGTAAAGACGGATCTGTGCCTATTCCTTTTGCAAGTTGACTATAACTATCTGCCTATCCCTTTGCAACTGAGTTCAATAGCAATTTTGACACATCCGACCCTGATATTCTCCAAACACAGGGTAGGCACGTGCTGGCCGACACCCGAAGGTGAAGAAGCCATATTAGGATGCATGAGAAAAAATATATATAAACAATACTTATAAATTTAAATACAATGATTATGCAATTATGGAACGTGTTTAGAGCTTACAACTAATCCTAGACACTAAAAAAGAATAATATAAAATTGAACGAACAAAGAGATGCATCCTACACCGAGAGGACTCGAAGATCCACTAAGTACATTCGAATAGCCACTAAGTACATAAAGACATTAACATAATATTTCTAATATCTATATATATCTATCTTAATCGGAGTTCCTCATATCGTAAAACCTATTCGTAGTATATAGTCAGCAATCATATATACTACGAAGAACGTAAAATAAATAAAGCATGAATATCATAAAGCGTAAATCCAATTTACTCATAAACGTTTCATAAAACATAACCATTAAAGGTTGGTTTGGTATTGCTGTACTTTGAAAAAAAAACCTGATTATGTTATGCTGTGAGAATAAGTAGAAAAGTGTATGGTAAATCTTTTTGTAAAAGTGCTTTTGAAAAAAAAAGCAGTATAATAGTATTTGGTAAACTTTTATGTAAAACAACTGTGACTGTGTAAAATGACCAAAAAATGTATAATACTAGACGTGCTATTAATTTAATTTTCTTAATAAATAAAGGTGAATTACTAAATATGCTTTATTTTTAAAAGAACAATATTTATGAACTTTATCTTAAATATTAATTAGTATGACAAACTACTTCAATTGAAATATTTTAGACTGAATATCTAAGATTCATTAGTACAATATTGTTAATGTACTTGAAAGTAGTCTAATTAGATGCATTCATCAAACTTGCCACTATTCTATTTCTTAATGCTTCTATCTCATGTGATCCTTCAACTTGATAAGTTTGGTCCACGTTCACTGGTTGTAGACTATGTACATAATAAAACCAGGAAAGCCAATTACAATTGACTTGAAAGTCGAAAAAAATCCAATACAAAAGGAAAAAGAAATGCTAAAACAACAATTTTAACTCAAGTTCTCACCAAATTGTAACTAATTAACCTATCAAACTTGTATCATCGACTTGTTTTCGCATAGTGTCTGTATAGCAGGCATTTTTTTTTTTTTGTTCGAGACACTAGACAGCAATAGAGATATGGTGTTCCAACGTCACGCCTCATGTTTTGTTTAAAATGAAATCAACAGAAGCTTCTGAAACACCAATGCAACGAAGAATAAAACAAACATGTTTTTAGGTACTACTACCAGAGTCAGAGTCCCCCCTGCAAGGAAACAGATGGTGAATAACCTTCAAAGCAACTAAAATATATCTTTTTACAATATTTTCATTTGTCAACCAGACACAAATGAGAACCGTTGGAGAAGAGATTAACGTGTGGACAAAGATGAAAAGCCATCATCCAAATGATTGTTTAATTACTCATTTTGATTGACTCGGTCACTCTTTCTTTCTTGAACGCGGAGTACCTTTGCCTAGTATTAGTTTAAAGAACAGGTTAAATAGTGAAGAAGAAAACCATATCACCTTCCCCAATTAATTTTGTCCCGACACTCATACACTCATCCCTTCGCTCTTCCCACCCCTCTTTCACTCACTCTCCCCATCCCCAAATTTAAAAATCCAAACAAATAAATAACGAAATTTATTTTTTACCAGGGGCGCAACGGCAGGCAACAGAGGAAGAGGCAGTGGGGTTTTGAGGGGGAGGATAATCGAATCGATTCCTAATCGAAAATCTTTGCTATCTGAATAAGAAAAAAACAACAGATTCAAATCAAGGACAAGCAAACCAAATTCAACCGATTAAAAAATCCGGGAAAATTTACCAAACCAACATTTCAAGAATAGAAAATTCCACAGAAAAGCCCCCAATATTTATCTTTTCTAATCCAATTCCTATGTTAAAACCGACCCGTGACAGTAAGAATCCACACGAACAAGCATTTGATCAACTCGGGGCACAACTCAGCAGTAAGCTAACATATCTGTTAAATTTAACGCGAAGAGCAAGAAATACACTCACAGTTTCAGTGGACGAAGCTTGCGATGCCGTGAGATTGCTGCAATTAGGGCTTAATAGATCCTGCTTTCGATTCGGGTTTGTCGAAAAGGAACGAGAATCGCTAGGGTTTTTTGTGGAAGCTTGAAGAGGGTGTGCAAGAGAGAATCTGAAAGTGTGAGGAAAGCAGGAGGAGAAAGGAGGGCAATGTTGGCAAATTGAAAAATTCATTAATGAATTACTGTTCACCTATGTTTTTTACAATAAGCTGTTTTTTCAAGCTGCTTTTTGCAGCTTCAAGTTTTTGGCTTTTTTTTCATCTTAAATATGTCAAATAAAGTTGATATAGAGTGTTTACTAAACATCAAAAACTCTTCCAACTTTCTTTGATACCCACTTTTTTAAAAATACCTTAATACCAAACCAGGGCTAAGGGGTGGTTTGGGAGTGAGGTGCTTAAAACAAAGCACCCATAAAAAAAAGCTGTGAGGGTTTTAGATGTTTGGTAAATTGAAAAAAAAAAGGCTTATTTTGAAGCTGCTGTGGGAATAAGCTGAAATCAAAGGAAAAAGCTGAAGCTGCTATTTGCAGCTTTGGAAAACTGGTTTTTTTTCAAAGCACACAGAGCTACAGTGCTCCTTTAATGAAAAGACTCACTATCAGACTGCTTTTTTTTCTTTCCAAAAGCACTTTTACAAAAAAGTTTACCAAACACTCTGCTGATTTATTTCACAGCCGCTTATTCTCACAGCACAGTCGTTTATTCTCACAGCAGCTTTTTTTCAAAGCACAGTAATACCAAATCAGCCCTAAATCATGCCTTTCATGTATGCATTTCTAATAGTAAAATATGCATTTTAGAAGAGGTTCACTCACAGATACTCCGTCATTGAAAAGCTGTGAAATAAGAGGGACGGAAACGCCGCTAATAATCGCACCTAAGCACATAAAGGGTCCAATTAATAAAACTCTACCATAACAATTGAATTTCAAAAAATGGACGTCAAGATAGAGAATGCACAAAGTAAAATAGAAAATGGACACCAAGAATTTACATAGTTCGGCAATTTATGCCTACAGTCACGGAACAACGATCAATCTTCACTATATGAAAATAACGAGTACAACAAGAGTAGTCTTACCAAGTCAAAGACAAGGCTTGTTGGATACAAGAAAGTATAACACACACTTTCTATCACTCTAAACTTCACTCACACAATGTGTAGTGGAACACTCTCATTCTCACTCTTGGAGTGGAACTCTAGCTTTGGACTTGATCCTTTGCTACTCACTTCTTTCTTGATTGGTTACATCACTATAACATCACACCCATATTTATAGGTGAGAGCTTGGCATTCTACTAGTTTCTAGTTCTTTCTACAAACCTCTAGCTTAGATAATCCTAGACTAACCATCCTACTTTGCATACTAGAATTTTCTAGCATCCATCCTTTATAATGAGCTGGACCTTTAATGTCATTCATCATGGGCTGGACCCATGGTATACCAACACAAGCTTGGAAAGCCTTTTGTCAACTGAGCCTTTTGTCTATAACTATCTGCCTATCCATTTCCAACTGAGTTCGATAGCAATTTGAAAACCTACAAATACAAACGTAAGCTTTTGTAGTGCAGTATTCTAAATTGGTTGCAACAATTCAACCAAAGTTACGTATTACGTGACTCTTAGTTCCTGTTACAGACGGCATATTTTAGAGGAAGAACTTTTAGAGGAAGAATTGTAAAGTTTTAGTTCATTATGCCCCATTTTGGCACAGCTGAAATTATAAAAAAAAAGTAGCTATGAAAAAAAGTGGGGTGTAAAATGTGTTTGATAAATGTAAAAATACGTGCTTCTTTTCAAAGTTCCAGTCAAAATAAGCAGAAAAATAGAAGCAGCATTTTGCTGCTTCTCAAAACCAGCTTTTTTTCAAAGTAGACGGATGACCAGTAAAGTTTAATGAAACTTTCTTAAACCCAGTTATACCCTCTTTCTCCTTCTCTGTGGCTGTATACTTTGAACTGAAACTCAATATCTCAAGAACCTCTCCCCCCCCCCCAAACAACAAAATCCAATTTAAGATTAAAATTTCCATAGATTCAAAACCCAATTACCAAATTCAGCTAAACATAAAAGTAAACCAATATTTGTGGCAATTATTTTTCAGAAATTAAAGACCACCGCCGATAGAAAAAAGTAGCAAAGCGAATGGAGAGAGAAAGAGAGAGAGAAAGAGTTTGACTCTGACCTTGTTGCGTACGGCGGATGATTGAGAAGAACGGGAGGAAATGCTGAAGGGGAGAAGCTTGGAGAGTAAGGGTTGGAGGTTGGAGGTTGGAGTCATCGCAGAGAGCTAGCCGAGTTAGCAATCGGTCCATCATCTCTACTTTCTCTTCATCCGACTTTGTCGCAGACGCCGATGATGCTTCCGCCATTTCTTTCACATCCCCTTTTTTCTTTTTCTTTTTTTCTGGGTTTTTTCAAAATTGATTGGATGGATTGGCTTATTGGAATCCGATCATGGAGTTGGAGAGATTCGGAAGCTCAGAATTTCTTGCTCTCTCTCTCGAGGGTTGGCGGTTTTGGTGATTGGGAAGGGGAGAGAACAGATGGTTGGAGGGGAGGGATTTGGATCTTGAGCTGTGAAATCCGCCGGAGATTTTGGTGATTGGGAAGGGGAGAGAACAGAGGGTTGGAGGGGAGGGAATTGGATCCTGAGCTGTGACCCAAAAATGATGAAGACTGTAGTTGAAATTATAAATAAAAAATAAAATAAATTAGTTTATCCCATTTAATATTATACCATTTTAGTCATTTAAAATAATCATAACAGTTTTACATAAAGTTTACCAAACACTTGAACATTGTTTTTTTTTTTGTTAAAAACACTTTTACAATAAAAGTTTATCAAACACTTAACTGCTTTATTTTACAGTTGATTTTTTTTTTACAGCAGAAGTAATTTTTTTTTAAAGCACAGTAATATCAAACTAGTCCTATATCTATCCATGATCATCAACAATTTGAAAACTTATATGTCCTATACATCGTCTTGTATTCTTTTTGTTATGATTATTTCACAGAAAATAAAAGATGACATAGAAATCAATAACTTAAGCAAGTCAAAGGAAAAGAAAATAGAAGCAAGGCAAGGAAAATGAAATTTGCGTTGGAATATACAAATGGAGCAATCTATGGCACACCTGCTAAGGAAAAGGACATTTGCGTTGGAATATACAAATATGAACGTAAGCTTTTGTAGTGCATAGTCTAAATTGGCTGCAACAATTCAACCAAAGTTGTTATTACGTGACTCTTATTTCCTCTTACGGACGGCATATTTTAGATGAAGAACTATAAAGTTTTAGATGTCTTACAGATGTCATATACATCGCCTTGTATTCTTTTTGTTATGATTATTTCAAAGAAAATAAAAGATGTTTTCAAGATATTTTATTTGAGTCAGATTCCCTCCAAATTGTGGAGGCTTTGAAGGATCCTTCCCCCAATCTGTCCTTAATTGGTTAGGTTGTTGAGGACATCAAGGCCCTCATCTCCTCAATCATGAAGCTTTATCCACCCACGCTCGATGCCAATCCAATGGAGGCTTGCTCGTGTCGATATCACATCTAGTCATGCTAGTGAATGGTTGGTTTCCCCCTCCGATTGTAATCGTTGATTTACTTGTCGAGGATTCTGTTCTGCCTTAATTGGCTTTTGTAACCCTTCGAAGTATATCTATCTACTATCGTTTCTCTCAACAAACAAAAAATGTAAGTCAAAGGAAAAGAAAACAGAAGCAAGGTAAGGAAAATGAAATTTGCGTTGGGATAACTATGGCACATCTGCTAAGGAAACGCCACCTACCCTACTAAGTAGGTTTATATAAACACACAAATCAGCCACCAGTTCCATTACTAGTGCCCAGGATTGCGGCCCAAGATGTGGAAATAGGTGTTACAAAATTAAAGTCAAGATACACGTTATGATCAATGAATGGCAAATTGGAAGAGATCCCAAACTATATGAACAACCAGAGGAGTTTGAGCCAGAAAGGTTCTCGAATAGTGAGATAGATTATAAAGAGAATGACTTTCAGTTAATTCCATTTGGTGCTGGTAGGAGGTTTGTCCGGGAATCCAATTTGCCATGGCAGTCAATATGATTGCCTTGGCAAATATCGTGCACAAGTTTGACTAGGCCTGGTGGAGCAAGCGGGGAGGATTTCGACATGACTGAATCTACTGGTTTAACCACACATAAAAAAGATCCTCTAAGAGCTGTTGCTATTCCATATTTATGTTGAAAGATTAAGGCTATAGCCCATATGCTGTATTGAAACAATTGATCAACTTATTTGTCTAATGCTGCTGCCGTAGATGTACCGTTGGAAAAAGACAGCTGCATTATTATGGTAGACAACAAAATTTCGGTGAAAATAAATGTTTACCAACACATTAAATCATGAATCAAGCCACAAATCAAGTCTTGATTCTTCCATCAATTAATCAAGCCCGCAATCAAGACCAAATTCATCTGTAGGCAAGGTTTGGAGAGCCTATAAATACGAGGCTCCAAGACAAAGAAACAACAACAACAACAACAAAGCCTTTTCCCACTAAGTGGGGTCGGCTATGTGAATCCTAGAACGCCATTGCGCTCGGTTTTGTGTCATGTCCTCAGTTAGATCCAAGTACTCTAAGTCTTTTCTTAGGGTCTCTTCCAAAGTTTTCCTAGGTCTTCCTCTACCCCTTCGGCTCAGAACCTCTGTCCCGTAGTCACATCTTCGAACCGGAGCATCAGTAGGCCTTCTTTGCACATGTCCAACCCACTCATTCCTAATCTTATCCTTTCTCAAGAGCCCACACCTCCAACGAAGCATCCTCATCCGCTACACCCATTTTGTGTACGTGTTGATGCTTCACCGCCCAACATTCTGTACCATACAGCATCGCCGACCTTATTGCCGTCCTATAAAATTTTTCTCTTGAGCTTCAGTGGCATACGACGGTCACACAACACGCCGGATGCACTCTTCCACTTCATCCATCCTGCTTGTATTCCTTATATTCTGTCTTTGATCGGCTTAGGCGAAGACCTTTAGATTCCAACACTTCTCTCCAAAGGTTAAGCTTCGCATTTACCCCTTCCTGAGTTTCATCTATGAACCATATATCGTCTGCGTAAAGCATACACCGAGGAATAACATCTTGAATATGTCCTGTTAACTCATCCATTACCAATGCAAAAAGGTAAGGACTTAAGGATTGTTGATGCATAAAATCAGTGAGGACTTTGGTACAACAGAAAGTATTAAGTTTGTGACCTTCGCTAGATTGCTCCGGTCATTAGTGTGGATAAGTATGTAAAAGGATAGACAGAAGAGCAAACACAAGATGTACGTGGTTCACTCAAATTGGCTACGTCCACGAAGTAGATGAGTTCTCATTAATTGTGAAGGGTTTACACAAGTACATAGGTTCAAGCTCTTCTTTAGTGGGTACAAGTGAATGATTTAGTACAAATGGGCATTAGGAAATATTTTGGGAGAATGATCTCCTTTTATAGAAGAGAGTGTCTAGCCTTGTTCTGACATTGACACGTGTCGTGTTGTGATTGGCTTCCGATGTTGACACGTGTCGCGCTATGATTGGCTTCTGATGTCGACACGTGTCGCTCTGTGATTGGCCTCCTGGTTGGAAGGGAAGCTCCTCGGTTGGGGACTTGCAAGATCCAAGCCGCTGAGTAATCACGAAACTTCTAAGTACCGAAGTGTGGTATCGTCTTCACTTGCCTTATCTGTCTCATAGGTAGATGTGGCATCTTTTATGGAAGTACTCTGGAAGTACTCTTCCTCCGTCCAAGGGTGGTATCTTTAACTGGTAGAGATGCACAAGGTAATGTATCAATTTCACTTGAAGTTTACTTGTAGTTTCAGGCGTGGTCAAGCACGATACAAACCATGTAATAGAAGTCCCCTAAGTCGCCGAGCTAGGGATCTGCTGAAAGAGGTGACAGACAAGGTAAGCAATCAGAGCTCCAAGCAATCAGTCCCAGATCAGAAGTTTGATTTCGAGTTTCGGCTGATTGTTCTCATTCTCCTTATCTTGCAGGCAGCATGAAAGATAAAGAGAAGAAAAGGAAAAGAGATGATATGAGATACTTTTGCTTTTGAAGAAGTAACTTTCCACAGGCTTATTCTTGAACTGGGCTGGAGGGTTTTCTGGTTACCTCCAGAGTATAAAGCTGATTGAAGAATTTGAGGGTCAAAACAAGTCCATCAAATCTAGAGTACGTTCGACCCAGCTGATATGGGATACTTTTGCTGTTGATAAAGTAGTGGAAGTATCGGCACGTGTTCTGTTACGCTTGTCTCCACATGCTTCTTTGTATCCTTCTCACTTGCCTTATCTGTTCCTCAGGCAGATGTGGTATCTAATGCGAATAATATAAGCACACAAATTAAACCCTCTTTTGATAATTGTAGCAAAGTATGTAAGTAGGGATCGTTCTAAACCGGGGATTAGGAGGGCTTGCTAAAACCTCTAAACTGACTCAAAAACAAAAAAAAAACAAAGTTAAAAATGTAAACAAAAGACTTTAAAACAAGAAAGTAAAAGGGGGATTTGGGTTTGGTGAAGTTGAAAGTAAAACAAATAAACTAAAACTTAAATAGATTTTTAGCTAGGCAGATTGTAAAACAAATTTGAGAAATAAGATGATGGATGGATTAGTTAGAGGTCCGTTCTTCACACATGACACACTTGTACATGAATCGATTTCCAATTGCTTTTCAATAAACTATGATGCTCAACACCCCAGATTGACCGTGATGCACAAATTAACCCTCAGATTTTCCTTTACTTATTTAATTGGATGAATGCATGCGACAATCCAAATTATTCTCTAAAAGTCCCCTATATGAATGCATAATAGAGATACAATCAGAGATCATTACGTTCAATGAAAATCATAAGTGTTGACGAGGCAATTGTAACTATGAATGCATGATACGTTTGCCAAGAATTCAATTAACGCGATTGTGACAAGCAACCTTCACTACTTATGAATATAAACTTGTAACAATTAGGTGAAACTCATTTATATTCTAGCATCTAATTTATGTATGAAAACTAAGTATGCATCCTTAATAAACATACAAGAATCAGTTATGAAGAAAATAGATAATTGAATTGCAATCACAACTTATCAAATCACAATTGGAAGAAATCAATTCATATCACAAGCATGTTCATGGCTTCAAACTTCCCCCTAACTAAATAGGGGTTTAGTTCCCCATGTTCACAAAACAAAGATAAACAGAATTATACATTGAAAACAAAAGAAAGAAAACACATAAACGTTCCAACGATCCATGTTGGATAGCAAGCACGTACAAGAACTTTCCTCTTCTTCTTTGCTGCAACACAAGGTTGGAGTGATGTTTTGAAGGGTTGGTTATGTGGAGGAATGGATGGGAAGGAGTTTAGATATGTAGGGAGAGGCAAGGCAAGGCTTGGAGAATGGTTAATTTCTGGATGCCTTCAATGAGGCTGCTGCCATGGGTATTTATAGGGAGAGGATGGACTTGTTTAATTCAATTTTCTGGTGGAAAACAAGTAGGTGACACACGGCATTGAAGTGGAGAATAATGGTGGGTTAGGTCTTGAATCATCCACTCAATTTCTGTGCACAATCTACTTATTTTCTGTTGAGTTGGGGATGAATCATCCACTCAAATGTCATGGTGAGTTAGGCATTGCATCAT